ATATAATGCAGGACTCTAACATTTTGTGGCAACAGTTTGAAAAGTGAACCGACATTTATGAGTCCGACGCAAAATGCCAAAACGAAACTAATAGTCCTTCGGGATTCAAATCCCTTTGGACTAAAAAAAAGAAAAAAAAAAAAGAAAAAACAATCCTCGTTCAAAGATTTGATACGAACTCTGGACAAGCTATTATATTAAATATTGCGTAATTTTCATTTCAATTATTCCAATACTAAGATACACAAAACAAACTATTTTCCTCTTACCATGGCCTTTTACAGCATGTTTTCTGGTTGGCCATACAGCGAAGATTATTCTCAACTCACATTGACACGTTTGATTGCGCGGTTGCTTTCGTTCGTTTATCGTACTGTTCGAGGTTGTTGAGGGTACGGTCGTGTTATTCGTAGACTATCTCCTCGCTCCTCCCATTAAATAGCTCCCTCTCATTGGTAGTAATGAATGTCAGTCGCGTATGACGTTCAAATGAAGATTTTTTATTCCCTCCGGTTTACTAGAATTTGTGCTTTATGTTTGGGAATATTCCTTGGAGAACAGCCTCGGTGGCGACAATTTGGCTCCTTTAAGGATGTGAGCGATGTTTTATAATGCCGAGGGAAGTAAATATCATGTGAGGATTAGCTGCCGCTATGGGAATTACTAATGAAAAAGTAGTGTCTCCGTTCTAACAGGGCTAAGGCTTCACGCATGCGCAGTGATATGCTCCGCTTGCGTAATAGGCTGGCATTTGTTATACACTATTGGCAATGTATCATAAGATTGGCGATTTATGTTGTTCCGTTAAATTTTACCACCGGTAGGGTGCAATTAAATTTGTATATGTAGACTAAAAAGTTCTTCAACATAAACAACACCCATTTTCTTTTGCTACACCCAGCTCTTGACAGAATACTTGAAATTTTATTCCACAAGAGCATTTTGAAGAGATGATAAAAAATTGTACTGAAATGAACTATTTATGGTTTGTACAAGGGCAACTCGCATTATTTAACAAAGCTATGTTGATTATGGAAAGTACAAAAGCAACTGATATTGTCAATGAAATTGGAAACAATTGTGAAGAAAAATAAGATACAAAATTTCAGTCACAACACATTTCATTGCACAGTGCCATTTAAATGATAGAATACATTTTCAAGCATGCGATACACACTGGCAGCAATTAAAAGAATATTGTCAATTATGGAGGATCATAAAAAAAATTATTTGAAGAAAGAGGTAAACTGGCTGAATCAACAGTAAAAGCTTTACTAATCTGCAAAATTAATAGCCATCTAAACTGCAGTGAATTTTTTCGATACTGTTAAAAATTACAAACTAGTGATAAAAATGCTAGACACTAACAGTAAATACTAATGAATAATATATTGAGTTACTAAAAATTTATTTTAACTTATTGTTATTTTTTGTTCCTTCTTTATTTTCCTTTTTTCTTAGTAGTTGCTTTTTCAGGTTTTATTTTCTGTGCGAGTATTTTCTCAAAATTCTTCTGGTTTGAGCAAAGAATATTATGGCAAGCCTAGCCATTACAGGATCGATGAAGAAAAATAAAAACTGCATTAGAAAAAAATTGAAAAACGAGTTCCAATTAATTGATTATAGCCAAGCACTCAACAATTATTTAGATGAGAGATGTCTTTGTAAAAAATATGAATTCAAATAAATTTCAAAAGAAATTTTATAACAGTAATTATAAGATGGAATATCAAACAAAAGTACATTCGGAAATAAATATGAAATAACGTTAAGTGAAGTGTTACAGAAACCTACAGTATTAATTTAAAGCAATTAAAAAAAATCAACACGTCAACAAAGAACAACGTCTATTTTGAAGAAAGAACAACGTAGGCTTCTGCATAAGCTTTTAAGTCCCGAGTAAATAAATTCCACATTTCTGTGTTTAGCTGAATAACAAATCAGTGATTCTTAATGCAAACAGTACTGAATATTTATCTTTTGGAATATGAATACTATTAAACATTTATTTTTTGTATATGGATAAAAAAAAAACAGTACACACTTCGCGGCAATTTATAATGCCTGCCTGAAGTCTACATTCATACAAACGTCTAGCCCCTCAGATATTAGTTTCCTCCTGATCATTTGCACAGATTCATGCGCAGCGTGTTTATCTTAGGAATCAATTTCTTTTATTAGTTTTTCTACAATATTTTTACTTTTCACCTTTTCGTTCAGATGATATATTATAAATCTATATATAAAGGAAGAATTCCTGATTTATTCATCTATAGATCATCGTCCAAAGCTATTAGAGATACAGATATCAAAACTTAGGAGCTTATTCCTGCATAGGAAGTATTTTTTGTGTTTCTTCTAAAGAAGGGGGGGAAATAAAGAACATTCATAAAAGTACTTCCTTCATATTGTTAGATTAGTCATGCGACTGTAACACTTTTGTTCTCAAAACCTGTGCATTTCATTTTTCAGGTTACAACTTTAGTTTGGGCAAGAAGAAAAATAAATTCACAAATGTTTTACTGCATGGAACTTATTTATAATCACAAGTTCACAAAATGTTGCGTAAATACTAAAAATTAAGAACTGAAAATGATAAAAATCATGAGATGCAACACTACCAGAAACCACCTGTTAAGTGGTCTATTACTCATGCTGGTTCATAAAGACTGGCCACGCTTCACAAAGATTGAAGAATATTTGCTCAAGCAATTAAAGATTCCTGTCTTAGTCAATACAAATGGTACCTTAGAGCTAATGTCTGTTTCAAAAGTTGACAGACTTCATGTCAGTAAGAACTGCATGTTAGAATTCAGGAATATTCAAGAACAACAATTAGGTGTTTATCATGTTTCAAAATTAGCAAAGTTTTTGAATAAAAAGGATGATTTTAAGTAAATTAACAAGAATTTTGTATTTCAACAATTATGTTTATTTACAAACAAATAACTGTTATTGCTTTGGCTCTGTATTTGAGGAAGTATATTCCTTGGCTGTACAAATTGTAAACTTTTCTACACTTTACTTTTTCAGATAATAAATAAGCTTTTTCTTAAGTTTTCAATTTTTTCTCAATTAGAATTAAAAACAGATTTTGATAGTAGTAAACTGAAAATAAAAGAAGAGATATATTGCTATTTATGATAATGTAAAAATAATGCAGTAATATGAAAACATAGAACTTAAGATTTTTCTTGACTCTTAAGCTACACTCCTCATGGTAATGGTAACAAACATGGGAAAGGGGAAAAAAAGAGAAGTGGGACAGTAAGCTGGCAACCTACAAGAGTTAAGAAAAACCACAGTTATTTTTTTCTATTATGTGGGCATTCAGCCCATAATATTAAGTTTAGCACCAATATACAGATTAAACCTCACTACTATATCACATAACTAATTCATTGACAATTTGGATCATTAGATATGTTTTGTTTTCTCTAATGCAAATTAAAACTACACATATTTTATAGGGCATTCCGAAAGATCTGAGGTACATCATGAATGAAGGTGGTACCAAGGTACAATACATTTATCTTTTCTGCTGCCTTAATAGCCACTAATACATTACATATGCCTTAATAGCCACTATACATTACATATGCCTTAATAGCCACTATACATTTCAAGAGTAACATCACCATGGTAGTAACAGATATGGAATTATTTGCCTTTTGTTTTTATTTATAACAGATTAGCATATAAGGCACAGTCTGAAATTATTATACACACAATGCGATTTCAGAAAATTACATTAGTGATTACCAAAAAGACCTAACACAAATTCTGTTTCAAAAGTAAAACTACTCCTTTGCCTCAATTTGGCCATGCCTGGGCTATACATAAGGCATATAATTATAAAAAAACCAATTAGCTTCTAAGAAACAGTATATTCTTATGAATCGCTGCAATTCTTAAATTTATTATAAGAAGGCATTCTGAAAATTATTAAGGTTTTTGAAGTTTTCACATCTTGTATTTAACAGCAGTACTGTTTTTGACTTATAAAGTACATAAATTAGTATTTCAGTGTCCGTTAAGTATTAAACGTTCAATATTGAGTTACATGAATTTCTATCCTTGAAAAGAAATTTCTTGATTTTTCATCAGCAACTAATAATTATTATCTTTTATATACAAAAAATGCACTCAAATATATCTTTGCTTTACCGCTTAACAACACTTTACTGAATTTTGTGGCATGGGCTATGCATTCACACCAATTTGAGTTTATTAACTTTTTTTCAAATACATGACTTTTTGTCCAGAATTGTCAGAAATTATATCACTCACCGGGAAGAGAACGTTGTATACTTACCCCCTCGGTGAAAATGAAAGTTGTATACTCACTGGGGGGGGGGGTAAGAGCCTTACATGGAATCGGAAATGTAAGAGAAATGATTCAAAATTATAAAAGAGGAGTAAAATTTGCACAAGACATTATGAAAGTCATCAATTCTCATAAACTTGTGATCGGTATCTCTGATTGATCAAACTAACATACTGAAAGCGTTCAATTTACGAAACTACCCTTAAAGGGAGAGAAAGACTTTGTGTGCAAAGGTGCAGGGACAGCTTAAATGTTTTTGTGTTTTTATGTGCCGTGTTATTCGTTTTAGTTTACTAACCAATTTTCTTTTCGTTTCTTTTTTTTTGTTAAGCTGCTAAATTGATTTTGTTTTTATTTGGACACAGCCAGCTTGTGTCGTTTGTTGTTGGGAGGGTTACGCCCGCTTTTCTTCATAAGGTTCAACAAACCAGGCAGAAGGGCTGCGCCCGTATAAAACAAAACAAATAAAACAAAACATCACTTTTATACAGTTGCATGTGTAGTCTCTCTCTTATTCTGGTTTATTATTTCTAGCTTAATAAATACTGAACTCACATTCTCTATACTGATTATATATTTTTTTTATAAAAATTTTGCATAAAACAATTTAATGAACATTACAGAACCAATTCTAGAATGGCTGCTGTGTGGAAGGCTATTTTTCGTAAAACAAATGAACTATAAGCATTTTCTTTTCATTCTTCGTGCCTTACGATTTGCTGATGTCGGAACACGGGATGACAGAAGAAAGAGTGATAAATTAGCTCCAATAAGAGATTTGTTTGAAAATTTTGTCCAGAATTGTCAGAAATTATATCATGTAGGGGAATACGTGACTTTGGATGAAAAGCTAGAACCTTTTCAAGGACGATGCCCCTTTTGGCAGTATATGCCAAAGAAACCTGCAAGATATGGTATAAAAATATTTACTGTGGTTGATTTTAGAGCCTTTTATACTTTCAACATGGAAATTTACTCAGGTCAGCAGCCAGATGGTATATACGAGAAAATCAACAGTTCTTATGAAAAAGGAAAGTGCATCCTAGGTCTATTATACAATTCTGGAAAAAACGTTACCACAGACAGTTGGTATACCAGTCATGAATTGGCCAATTTCTTACAGAAAAATAAAATTTCTATTGTTGCAACAATATGCAAGGATAAGAAGATTATCCCACCTGATTTTGTGTCGAATAAGAATAGAGAACAGCATTCAACTCTCTTGGGGTTTCAAAAGGATGTAATGCTACTTTCTTATATGGCTGAAAAGAACAAATGTGTTAACCTTTTGTCAACTATGCACAATGATGACCATATTAATGAAAGCACAGGACATTTGAAGAAATCTGAAGTAATTACGTTTTATAACATGATAAAAGGAGCAGTTGATATAGTCGACGAAATGGGTGGCATTTATTCTGTGGCCAGAATATCAAACCGATGGCCTATGGGCATATTTTTTTCACTATTAAATGTTGCCGGCATAAATTCAAGGATCTTGCTTTTATCTATTAAAACTCCACCAGAGAAGTGCAGGAATAGGAAACTCTTCTGATTTGGCCTTTGCACCTTTAGATCCTCATTTGAAATCACAACAGAAACAGCAGGAACGCAACGAAGATTCTCTTGAAGATTCGCAAACAAAGAAAAGAAAATTATGTTACCAGAGATGTTACATGTATTCAAGAAAAAAAAGACAGAAAATCAAAAACTTTATGTGTGAAGTATAAAAAAAATATATGTCAAGAACACTGTGAAATAGAAGCTTCATGTATACACTACAAAATATCTAATTCTTCTTGAGCCCAATTGATTTGAAAATTAATTATATAACTCATTGTCCATGTAATAATTCTGCATAATTTGAATTATAATTGCATTCAAAAATAAAAAAAAACACAAATTTCGTATAGAAATCAATGATTCCTAGTCATCTGAAGAAAACGTAAGTACTTTTGATTTATTTGTTATTAATTTTAAAATTAACATCATTATTTTCATTTTTATGTCATTTAATTGTGACGCTCGTTCTCGTGTTGCATAATACAGCGCGCGTCCTCCCGGGTTAACTATACACCGCTAAATGTCATTTATCAACCTATTTATTTTACTTCTATATCTTATAACTTGACTGTACACAGCTAAAATCATTGCTTCCATATGATAAACATCTTGCTACTTAACTATACACCGCTAAAATCATGGCCGATTAGCCGTTGCTGAGCTTGGCGACTATCGGCACCGGCGCCAACGTATCCTTTGCGGAAGAAAACCTTAGAATTTTAATCTGAAATTATATTTTCACATACAAACATAAAGTTGAAGTATTCATATTTTCAAAGCAGAAAACGTTGTAAAATAGTACACATCTAGAAATAAATGTGAAGAGTAGCTAGTTCTTTAATACATATATAGATCATATGATCGGAAATGTGGTTGATTAATACATGAAATCGGATCCAAAAGTAACAGTCCTACGTTTTATTCATAAATGTTACTTGACGAACAAAAAAATAAACACTTCTTAATTCTTCTTTTCCCCACATATTTTCCCCTTCTCCCTACCTAGCTACCGCTCCTTACACGATATTTACTATTTAGTATTTACTTCCCTTGGCATAATGAAATATCGCCCACGTCCTCAAAGGAGCCAAATTGTCGCCACCAAGGCTGTTCGTCGAACTTTACATCCCTACAACCCTCGTAAATCTCGTAACTCCTCCTATTTGTTACGCCTTTCCCCTTGTAAAGATCTTCTACGAACAAAACTTTCGTTGGGACGTGTATATTGATCCACGTCAGTGTAGTTAAGTATTATATATTACAGAAGTCTAGAATTATCTTCTGTATAATAAGTGTGTGTGCATTTTCAGTGTAAAATGGTAAGTCCTTTTACCGGTTTTTATATCCTGAAGTTATAGGTTCTGTGGTCTTTTACACGTTTTTATGTTCTGAGGTCTTTTACATTCTGAGGTCTTTTACAGTTATTCATGTTCCGAGGTCTTTTACAGGTTTTTATGCTATGAAGATATCTCTTTTACAGGTTCTGTATGTTTACTCCATTAAGCTTCATCGTATTATCCGCGTATAAACATACATTTCTTGCATAATAGCTTTTGTTTCTTTGGAAAAAGTATTTTTTATATTGTGTGTATAATTAACATAATACTTTATATTGTGTTAAAAAGCTGGAAGTGTATAAAGGTTAATTAACTAAAGCTATTTAAAATACAATCTAAAAAGGTGTATTTCTAACTAAGTTTTATGTTGTAATGTTATTTGCAATTTCTTCCACCCCCTACAGAAAATCAAAACGCGAAATCTCACAAACTCGGTGTCCATGTACACATCGGCCTATTTTAATTAAAAAAAAAAATCGGAGAATAGCACAAAGTAGGCATTGCGAACTAATTTAACTTTATCCATGTACACATGGACATATTTTAACTTAAACAAAATCAAAAAGCTGAAACGAAATTAAAACCATCATATTAACAAAAAAAAAAAAAAAAAAAAAAAATTCACTACTGCCTTAGCACACAGACATGAACAAATAACCGAAAATACACAAGCCCAGAGTAATAAATAACCAAAAATACATATTTCCTAATAATAAAAGCATTAACGAATATTTCGACAAAAATTAACACACAGACATCAATAACATTTAACATACATTTTCTTCATGTGTATATGTTAATGCCTCCTACCAGCATCTCGTCCATGTAAGCAGTTCAATTAAATATCTGGTTGTAGCGGATAAATACGTATAATAGCATCCAAGAAAGGCCCACCAGCGGCCGAGCGGTAAAGTCGCTGAACACTGGTAGTTCGGTCCGAGGTTCGAATCCCACGAACGGGCTGGCTGCATGGGCGTTTCGTGGTTTTCCCCATGTGTAACGTGTATACGAGCCAGTTTCCCTTAGAAAGTCCTCCACGAAGGCATTCCTCACCTTAGGCAGATAGCCCTCGAGGCTTTGCCATAATCACACACACAACAGCATCCAAGAAAGCCATAAATACATTCCTTCTATTTTATATACTCCTTCCAGAAATTATAGTCGTACCTGGAATAATATACTCATTTATAACAAACACTAAGCAATCTTTCAGGCACCACTTTCATAAAACATTACACACATGCAACCAAACATAGCACTTCAAAATCTCCGGTCCGTAAGAAACGGGTTACCATTACGAAAAATAACAAAATCTCAACTTATTACAATTAGCAATAATCGCAATTTTCCTCCAACATTAGGGTTACCAAATCCTACTTCATGCAGTGGGCTTCCAGATTTCACGAACAATTAATACCACTTAGCTATTTTTTCAGACAGAATCCAAGCGGAACCGTAGATTGAATTTCAACCCAAACTCGGTGCCCATGTACACATCGACCTATTTTGACTTCAAAAAAAAAAAAAAAAAAAAAATCAAAGAAGTGCACAAATTAGGCATTGTGCACTGCCTTAACTTTGTCCATGTACACATCAATCTATACTATTCGGTTTTGAGGGTTGCAAAAGTGCTGCAAAAAATAATTGCGTCAACCCTAATGCAAGAAAGGAAATATAATAGTAAATAACTATTTAAGATTGATGTTTAATTTAGATGAAAGGTTAATTTCATATAATACATATTATTATAATTTATATAAAAATGGCTAAACATGACTGAATAGAAGCATAAGAGTAAATAACTATTTCAGATCATTATTATAATTTATATAAAAATTGCTAAACATAACTGAATGGATGCCTGCATTGCTATTTCGCTACCAAGTTATCGCTAAAGCATACTTTCATCTCGTTGGTTGTTCAAACATAATTTTCTATAATGAATGATGCCTTTTCTTTGAAAAAATTATCGGTAAAGTGCAGAATCACCCACTTATTTGTTTGCAGCTTTTTACAAGGGTAAAAACAATTGGATTTTTGTCAATTTTCTTTTACTTTTTAAGTGAAAATGGGTAGATGTGTACATAAATAAAGTCAAGGGTGTGCGCATTGCCATTTTTTTGCAATTCTGGGATTTTTTTTTTTTGAAGTGAAAATAGGTTGTTGATGTGTACATGGATACCGAGTATGTCCAATTCTTAAAAACGTTCCAAGCAGTGGGTGATTCTGCACTTTACCCAAAATTCTATTGCACACTTTTCATCATGGGATATTCCCAAATTGTTAAATCCATAGGATATCAAAAAAAGATTTAAAAATTAAACTAGTATTTCAATGGCATCTTAAGAAATATAGAACTATATAAACTTGCGCAATCTGAACTCGGCGCGTACGCTAGATTTGACATACTGTTAAATGGGCGCGTTTGCTAGGTTTCGCACTTTTGCACATGCATTTTCGCTGCAATTTTTTTTATGGTCCTCAAAACGAAATAGTACCCATCAATCTATTTTCACTTAAACAAAATCAGGAAGCTAAAACAAAGTTAAAACTAATTTGTTAACCAGAAAAAATTCACTGCTGTCTTAACACACACAGCCGAACAAATAACCAAAAATATACAAACAGAGTAATAAATAACCAAAACTACACATTTTCTAAACATTAAACAACAAATATTTTAAAAAAATTAACACAGAGATGAATAAATAAATGAAACATCAATTTTTTAACATATCTTTTTTTCACGTGCTTCCCACCATCATCTTCTCCATCCTCCACATAAGCAATTCAGGTCGCTTCACCTCATCTACTGTTAATCAACAGTCATCCTCTTACCCACCTCGGACATACTCAAATGATGGTACCCACAGCAAATTAATAGCAAACCAAGACCTACCACGCACGTCCAAGCAAACACAGAAACTGAAAACCAAACCCGGGTCCTTACGAAAGGGTTACTATTACAAAAAATATCCAAAATCTAAATTTAGCACATGTTTGGTGATACTCGCAGACCTTTTTTTAATGACAAAAACTAAAAAGGACCACAATTTTCCCCAAAATTATCAACATTAGGATTATCGAAAAACCTATTTCATGCAGCGGGCTTCCAGATTTCATGAACAATCAACACCACTTGGCGATTTTTCAGACAGAAACAAGGAGTACCATACAGTAAAGCATTTATCTTTTGTAAAGTGTTACAAATGTATTGTAGCATTTTCTATATCGTTTCGTTAATTTTTAGAAACTATATAGGAGGTACAATGCATTTGTCCTTTTTAGGAACAATATAAGAGGTGTTGCAATACATTTGTCCTTTTTAGAAATGATATAGGAGGTGCTAGAGTACATTTAAAGTGGTACAATATATTGTAGCACCTCCCATGTCGTTTCTAAAAAGGACAAAAGTATTGTAGCACCTCCTATATGATTTCGTCAGTGTTTAGAAACAGTGTAGGAGGTGCTACAATGTATTTGTTCTTTTTAAAAATGCTGTAGAAGGTGCTAGAATACATTTGTCCTTTTTGGAAATGATATTGGAAATGTTGCAATACATTTATCTTTTGTCAAGTGGTACAAATGTTTTATAGCACCTACTGTATCATTTCTAAAAAGGACAAATGTATCGTAGCATTTCCTTTTTTTTTTTTTTTAATTTTATTTTTAGAAACGATACAGGAGGTGCTACAATAAATTTGTCCTTTTTAGAAACAATACTGGCGGTACTACAATACATTTATCTTTTGTAAAGTGGCAACTCATTTTATTTAAATTGTTACAAGGTAGTTAAAGGATTTGAAAAAAAAAAAAAAAAAAAAAAAAACTTTTAACCGTACTTTTCTGTTTTGAAGGTGCAAACGATAGTCACCAATAATGGTACAACTGATGCTAAACGGAATATCTTCGCTGGTAACCTTTTATGCCTCATTTTCAAAACAAGTCGCAGCCATTTCTTATCAGATTGATTGTTTTTCAATACTGGCATACAATTACATAGAATTTTTACAAGATAGCTAAATTTTATGCTCTAAGACCATTTGTGGTAATTAAGTCAGGATGCAATCAAACTGCTCACCCGAAGGCGAAAATATAGAAAAGGCAAAATCAAGGGTTAAATTCATCAATTCTAATGAGAATACACACTAGCGAAGTAAAGCATTGCAGTTTTACATAATTTCTGAGTAAGCTATTCGTACGAATTGAAAAGATTTAACTTGAAATTAATGTAGATAATTACTGAGAGAATTAGATTTTTGTAGCATAGTTTACGTGAGATGAGATCACTTGGGGTCACGTGAAACGAACCGGCGAATCTGGATGTTGAACCATGAAAGCATAGTAAATTCTTAATGTCTTTTTACAAATTTATAGTCTTTTTTTTTTTTTTTTTTTGGCTTTTGTAAAAATTTTAAACCATATTAAAATGTTTATGCCTTCAAAATAAATTTTTAGACCTAACATTTGTTAACATTTTTTATGTGTGTACTGTATGTTGTTGCCAATAAAATCTGCTTGGTGAGATTTGACGAAACGGAAAAGTACCCTTTTAACATTCCCTACAGTAGATCCCAGCTCATGTTGGAATTACTGGTAATGAAACAGGCTGATAAAACTAACTGAAAAAGAAACTAAAATTTTGTAATCAAATAATAGTAGGGTACAATTTGCATAAGTGAAAAGAATAGTAAAAAATGCTCCGAGGAAAAATTCTGATGTTAAATTATGTAAAAAATTAAGAATAAGATGTGGAGGGATTCGATTTGTAATATCTTGGACTCTCCCGGATCCATCACAGTTGCAGCATTTCATTTGGAGACCGAATGCGACTGTCTCTCTAAACATCTGCATCGCATTGATATATACTGGTGAAATAAATTAAGAGACTTTTCAGATTTGATCTATGATCTCCAGAACTACTGGACAGATTTTAATAAAATTTGGTGTGAACATAGGTTGATATAATACAAATAAAATAAACACTCAACAGTTATAATAGACACACATGTTCTTTGTAACACTCATGGGAGTCTGAAGGTCTGAAACAGCAGTAGCTGAAGACACAAAAAGAAATGGGTTAATAGGGGGTATGGTCCTGTCTTACAGCCATACAGGTCTGGCAGCCTGATTGTCATACTGGAAATAAGGCAGTGTATGAGTGCCTGTGGTAATTGGTCCCATTCATTCAGCAACGCTGTTTTAAGTTTCTGGATGGTTCTCAGAGGGGGTTTGCGAGTTGCCCTCCCCAGAGCGTCTCAGACGTGCTCTATAGGGTTGAGGTCTGGAGACCTGGCTGGCCAATCCATCTGGCGAATATCCTCACTTTTGAGAAATTTGTCGACCAGAAGAGCTTTATGTGGCCTTGCGTTATCGACCTGTAAGATGAACTCGGGGCCCGCTGCACCCTGGAAAAGGCAAACATAGGGCTCCAAGACCTTATCCCTATACCTCGCACCAGTCACAGAGCCTCTGTCAAAGATGTGGAGAGGTGTGCGGCCATCCGACGTGATGCCTGCCCAGACCATTACATCGCCACCGCCATAATTGTTGATTTCGCGGACATTGGAGGGTAGGTAGCGGGTCCCTGGCTCTCTCCATATGAAAGTATGGCAAAAATCGGTGTTTAGGCTAAAACGGGACCCGTCAGTGAACAGAATGGTCGCCCATTGCTCCGTACTCCAATCACTATGCTGCCTGCACCATGCTAATCAGACTCTCCTGTCCGTGGACGTGAGCGGGACGCAAACAGCCTGTCTTCTGGCAAACAACCCTCTCTCATTCAGTCTTTTGGAGATGGTCACCCTTGTTACATGGGTTCCTGTGGCTGCATACAGGTCCCGAGAAAGCTGAGAAGCTGTAGCCCCTTTGTTATGCCTCGTTAAAGTGGACAAATAGCGATCTTCTCTGGCCATCGTGGCTCTTGAACGACTTTGCCCAGGCTATCTTTCGATGGATCCAGTATCCTGGAACTGTTTCCGTACATTATACACGACGCTGGGCCTTAAACTCTCTGCATATCTGGACTTGTGATTGGCCTGCCTCTGGCCTTCCCATAATTCGCCACCTCATTCCATCATCTAAATGTTGGTGGTTACTCATTTTTAATGTTCCGATGGGAATTTAACCGTTTGCTCCAAAATAACACCAAGAAATTTGCCGAGGTGTGCTAGCGAACACAATTCGTCTTACCCTCCACGCACTTATAAAACCTGTTTTTCTGCTGGCTCTGCCTACACATATGTGTACGCTTACGTATTTGCTGTACAAGATTTGCATTTTTATCTAGAGGCAGTGGTTTTTCCTTCAGTTCAGTTCTTTTCATGCAATTCGATAAAATATACAAATTCTCTTAATTTATTTCACCAGTGTGGATGACAGTATGGTATGATGGACATTTGCTAAAATGTTCCTCGTTGAAGGAAGAAAATGGCTTTTCATTTTAGCTGCTTTCACACTTCCAAAATGAAAAAATATTGTAGATGATAGACAGACTCTCCACAGCTTATCTTGGAAAATTTTTTATGTTAAATTATAGCCAAAAATTAAGGGTGCAGCTTATACACCTGAGAATACGGTAACCTAATTTAGCTTATTATCTGCTGCTTCACAATTATTTCCATTCTTAATCTTCTTATCTACACTTATTAATATATTTTTATGGTCTGTTTTGAATGGAACATAATTTCATCATTTGAAAACTGCACACTTCTATTCAGCTGTAGCCTATCTAAAGAAAAAGGTAGTGCCTCTGAATGGCAACATGAAAATCAGTAGAAGCACATTGATTTAGAGAATACTAAGTGGCAACAGTCTGAACTTTGGAACTGTCTTTTGATTTGTTTCATGCAGCTTAAATGCTGTTGATGAGATGTTAAATATATTCTAGGTTAGATAATTTGTTTTGGTATTTCCTTTTATAGTAGAATGAATGTTGATTTGGTACTGTTCTGTTATCAGGACCGGATTTAGAAATGTATGTATGTATACATGTATATATGGATGCATGTGTATATGTAAGCACATATGTATTTATGTGTATACACATACATGTCTACATTCATACATTTCGGAATCTGGTCCTGATAACAGAACAGTACCATTGATTTAGATAGGAATACCACTGAACCACACATATAGAAATTTTAATATGGCATTTATATTCATTGTAGAACTTTGTTAGTTACGCCTTACCATTGTCTATTGTATACTAAGTATGCAGTTGAGAAGGCAACTTTTATTATATATTGCTGAGGAACTTGTCAGATATTTACTTATTGCCTATGAAAATACATGCAAATCAATATTGCCAATTTACTTCCTCTGAAAATCGTAGGTATTGGCAAATATTAAAACTTTTCAAAAAGTGTGTTTTGATGTAATCATACACAGTAAATAAATTTTTGAATATTTCTTTAAAATATCTCTTGTTTTTAATCTAATCGTCTTTATTTTTATAGCCGTTGAAACTTGATGTGAAAAGAAAGCTGCTAGCCCGTTCAGACAGGGTAAAATGTGTAGATCTGCATCCTTCTGAACCATGGATGCTTGCTAGTTTGTATAATGGAAATGTGCATGTTTGGAATCATGAATCACAAGTATGTATGTTTATTTAAAATCGTGTTTGAGGAGTGGGTTGCAGCCCACACGTTAGGAATTACTGCTCCAGATGACAGTAAAATCTTATGTAAAATCTCAGTTTTACATTGCTGGGATGTCTTGTCATATAAATTTAAATGTCAATTATAATATCTTTAAATATCATATATTTCAAGAACAATAAATGTGTTATGATATATTATTTGTCATACGAAATTTCGCCATGTATTGGCATTTCCACCTTCCACTGATCCAGTCATTTGACCATTTTCATTTGTAATCATGACTCATGACCTGAATTTTAACACTATTTATTAAAAAAATAAAGTCCAGAAATATCTAACCGTAGTATTATCTAGGTATCGGATAATGCGAGAACGGAATTAAACCATAGGAGCTAACTTTCCCTATTTATGACATCTCTTGGTCACCCAATATATCACCGAATTTCCTGGTTTTTAATTTTTAGTCTCTACTAAGGAAAGTGTTTCTGAACAAAAAGTTGAATTTATTGAAGTAATAAAACTTAAATTGTTCCATTTTCCTCACATAGTGATTTTCTACATCATTTTTTTTCACTCAATTTTATTTCACCTAAATAGTTTTAGTCTACTGTAGACATTTGTAGAAAGATTCAAACTAAAATTTAAGCAACTAAAAATTATATTTAATTTGTTTTACATCAATAAATGGTACATTGCTAAGTTTATCCATCCAATAATAGGTGCATTCATTATTGGTTTTATTTTCATAGTATTTAAAAGAACTTTGAAAAATAAAAGATTTATTCAGGATTTTTTTCAGTATAAATATTAATATAACTCCTCAAAAGGCTGAAGAATGTAAAACTTAGAATATCTAATTAAAAATTAATATATTTTACATTAAATCACACTATAAATAGTTACATAATACATATTATAAAAGTTAGTGTCTGGTTTGAAGTTCTTTTGGTGTTAATCGTACAGTTCAAAAACCTCCCAGAAACTTCATATTTTTCATGCTTATTAATATGTAGTAATGTTTATTTTTTAAAAAATTGATAGAGCATAAGTTTAAACAATGTATTCGTGAAGATGAACGGGAAATAATTATTAAGTATCTTTTGCTTATGATGTTCTGAAAATTAAAACCTAATTCCCCATGTCTTTTGCTGTGTACAGAATTAAGTTTTGACATTTTTTAAGGGTGACTATTAATATGAATTATCTTAATACATACGTTTTAACTTATCTGTTGAAACTTCCATTTTGTACAATCCTAACTTGAGTTAAAAGCTTTAAAAAAAGTTTTATTATTTAAATATAGATCTAACATTAATTTTAGCAGTAAATAAATTCACACAAGTATACTTGCTGTTGGTGTATGAAATAATATTTTTGCTCACTGTGCCAACTACAAGATAACTTGGAACTAGATAAGCAATATTCACCTGTATTGTGCATTCATGCAAAATTCCTGCACATATGTTATTTTCCATTAGTCTTGCACGAGTTACTAAACAAGAATTTGAGCAGTCCATTTTATAGCATTTTCCAAGTGAATTGTTTTTTAAAAAAATGTTTTTGTTCTGAGCATTTAATTATTGTATCTACAGTGACAGGAAAAAAAAAAAAAAAAATCCCAACATCAAGAAAGATTAAATTTTTCTTGGTGTTGGGGACCTACCAAATTTTGCAAATCAGGTTTGCTTTAAATGCATGCTGTAAAGTTCTTGACTATTAGTTATCTTTGAAGTTTGACGTGTTGAGTTGATGTTAGCCAAGAATGCCTTTAAGAAGACTAAGCCATTATCAACAGCTCACTGGGTTTGAACAAGGTCATGTAATAGGGCTACAAGAAGGTGGATTTGCTTTCTACGATGTTGCAGAAAGACTTGGCCAGAATGTATCCACTGTACATGATTGTTGGGAGCAGTGGTCAAATGAAGGTACTGCTTCAAGAAGATCGGGTTCTGGGGTGGCCACATGGAATTACTGAGAGGGAAGACCATCGTATTCGGTGTACGACTGTGGCGCATCGTACTGCATCAGTGGCAGAAATTCAAGCTGCAGTTGGTACCACGATGACACAATGAACTGTTACAAATCGGTTACTTCGAGAACAGCTTCAAGCCAGGCGCCCTGTAGCGTGCATTTCACATTCCAGTGACTCCAAGTCATTGCTGTTTGTAACTACAGTGGTGTCAAACCAGAGGTCATTGGAGGATGGAGTGGAGATCTGTTCTGATGAAACTTGTGTTTTCTGATGAAAGCAGGTTTTGCCTTGGTGCCGGAAATAGCCATGTGTTGGTCAGAAGAAGGCCAGAGAAACTCTTGCAACCAAACTATCTGCGGCCTAGACACACTGGACCTACACCTAGAGTCATGGTCTGGGGAGAAATTTTCTATGACAGAAGGAGTACTCTCATGGTTATCCCAAACACACCGACTGAAAATGTATGTCAGTCTGGTAATTCAACCTGCACTGCTGCCATTCATAAACCGTATTCAAGGGGGAGTTTTCCCCAACAGGATAACACTCGTCCTCATACTGCTGTTGTAAAGCAGCATGCTCTACAGAGTGTCGATGCCTTGGCCTGCGAGATCACCAGATCTGTCTCCAATTGAGCACATATGGGATATCATTCAACGACAATTCCGGCATCATCCACAGCCAGTACTGACCATCCCAGTATTGGCAGAACAAGTACAACAAGTATGGAACTCCATATCACGAAGTGACATTCGATACCTGTATGACACAGTGCATGCGTGTTTGCAGGCTTGCATTCAAAATTTTGGAGGTTACACTGTCTGTTAATGTAACAGCATTTCACATTTGAAATGCATTTTCTTAAGTTAACTTGTGATTTTGAAAATTTAATCAATTAAAAATGTTAACTAGACAAATGCATTATTCAACTTTCATTACTCTACAATAATTTTACCTTTGTGTTGGGAATTTTTTTTTCAGTCAGTGCATATTTTGAGAAATTAGTGATTCAGTTGCCAAGTGTGTTATTTGTTCTTTTTCCTGTGCACCAACCATCTAAACATTGCATGCATTTGCTATGGCAGTGCTCATACTCGGTGTTTACGTGTGATCGATAATGAGTTCTCGTACGTGGTAAGTGAACTAATTTTGCCAATAGGAAGTATCTTCATATGTGGCACTGAATGTGTTAATCATCAATACATTGCAAAAATGTTAATGCCAACTGAATTTTCTCAATTCTGCTCTTTTAAACTTCTTATTTTGTTTTATAGCAACTAGTCAAGTCTTTTGAAGTTTGTGATTTACCTGTTCGAGCTGCTAAATTTGTACCCAGGAAAAATTGGATTATTACAGGATCTGTAAGTATATTTCTGTCAAATTATATTTTCAGCTTTTTACTTTAAAGTTCCTTAAATTGCAGCATTTTATTTTGAATTTGAATATTTTTGGCTTTGAAAATAAATAGGGTTTAAAAGGAACATCATTTTACCTTGTTTGAAACTGCATGCCATTTTAGTGTAGTCAGGTGTTTGGATGAATGGGTGGAGCTAAAGTTGCATCAACTCTACATAAGGGGGAACTAGCTCATTTTTACTTGTTCCCATAGCTGCTATTGACATGTTGTTAACTATTAGTGGTAGGTCATAAGAATTAAAATTTTTTTAGTGATTCTTAAGTGTAAAATTAAGCTCTAGGGCTGTATTCATCCATGAAAGTGTTTTTATGATACTTAAAGGAATTCAAAGTAATGTGTATTTATGCATAATTCCAAGTATATACTGTGGAGAAAGAACCAGTACGAAAAAAATGAACAGCTAGTCCTTGCACAACAGATCATTAAGAAGCATGTGAAGCAATCTCTGTTGCCTTTTTATGATAATGGGCTCATCTGCTGTCAGTCTGACAACCCTATGTTCTCAATCACTTGCCTATCATATTTTTTGCGATAATACATTTTCAAAAGATGCAGAAATAGTGAAAAATTGGAACTCTACTCTTCATGTTTCTCACTTGTACAAACATGTGAAGCATTGTACCCAACACGTCAAAGTGAAATATATAATTTCAAAGTGATTAATGATTCACAAGTTAAGAAGTAATATATTTTGTTAGCATTGGGCTGTTTTTGAGCTGAAATACTTTTAATTAAGCCACCCCTATAGTATAGTAGTTAAGGGAGGCGACTGTGATACCAAAGTGCACAGGTTCAAATCCTGGAGAAGGCATGGTTATAATTGTCTGTCCCTTCATAGGAGGCAGTGGTGGCCACCTTTTAGGTGCCTCCACAATAAAGTAGCCACCACTTCTAGCTTTAGGATTGGTCATTGTCGAATACACAAGTCCGCGCCATTAGATTAAAAAAAATAACTTGATCATTTTTCATATTATTCAGGTTTTCATAAATTTATTGGAGCATGTTAACCGTTAATGTATTCATTAGTCTCGAAATTTTATCATTTAGTATTCATATTCAGAATACAGTAAAACCTGTCGGGATCATGAAAGTGATCTTCTGAAAGTGGCTAGTATTTCTGAGAACATAAACACCAGTACTGAATTTGACATCTCTAAAATAACCACCACTACCATTGTCCATGCATAGTCATCTTAGAGAAGATTATTTTCTCATACTTCGTGCCTTTGAATTAAAATCCACACCATGCCAAAGAATAAGAGTTTGCTTAAAAATTCTGTATGACTGTTCACATAAGGTATTAAAAATTTGAAGAAACGATGAAGTCAGTTATTTTGTTGAAAAATAATGTATCGTTTTATTGTTCCCCCATTAAAGAATACATGATTGTTTTTTAACATCGGCTTTAATAATTCATTTTTTGTTTTTTGTTGTATTTTCAAGTTGTCTGTGTATACAGAGTTGTAGCTAGGGTTTTCAGCGCCCAGGGACAACTGAAGATTTCGCTCCCCCTACTGCTTGCCAAGGATGCAAAACATTTAATTCTAAAATGTTGTAACATCAGTTTGGTGCCCCTTGGATTCTGTGCCCGGGGACAGATGCCCCCCTTGCCCCCCCTCTAGCTACGCCCCTGTGTGTATAGATCTTTACAAATATATGTGTGTATATATGCACATTCTTAAGACATAGTTTTGTTATTGTGTGATATATTTTAAACAGAAATGCAGACTAGTTGTGTTCTGTGAACTAAATAATTTTTTAGATTGGCTTTTTATTTTGTAGTAACGTTCTTAAGACATAGTTTTATTATAATGTGATACATTTTAAACAGAAATGCAGACTAGTTATGTTCTGTGAACTAAATAATTTTTTAGATTGGCTTTTTATTTTGTAGTAATGTTCTAATATTAAGAGCAGTAAAAACTTAACTAGCTGAATTTTAAGTGTTTGCTAAAATGTAGAAGTAAATTATGAATTTTATTGTATTTTAAAGTGCTTAGTTAAAATTTATATGAGATAAAAATTTTTTAGTTTTTGATTGTTGCATAATCTTTTTGGCTTTGAAAATTGTGTTGTTATTTAGGATGACATGCAGATAAGAATATTCAACTATAACACACTGGAGAGAGTGCACATATTTGAAGCACATTCAGATTACATCCGTTCTATAGTGATACATCCTACTCAACCTTTCATATTAACATCAAGCGGTGAGTACTATGAATTTTAATGGATGATATCTGAAGGTAAAGAAGAGGGGAAGTTTGTTATAGTCAACTGAATGCTAGTTAAATGCTTCCCTAGAGAATGCACAGAAGTCGGCTCTCATTTTGTGCTTTGTAATGTACACTGGTTATCATTAATTAAGCAAAATCACAAAAATGATGATTACTCAAAAAGTTATGTAAAGAATAAAATGAAGCTGAACCATAGTATATAACACACAGTAAGGTATAAAATTACATGAAAATAAATTACCAGACGATAATGGTGTTGGGGAAATTAGCATATGTATAAAATGAACAAATCGGATGTGTCAATTTGGTATAGGAAAATTTTCTTCAATATAGAGTATGGTCTTTGCTAGAAGTAATATGGTCTATCACTTCCATAGTCATCGGCACTTGTAGTGGTTGGTCGTCCTTGGCTGAACTTCTTGGATGCCGAGTCTTTGGTTAGAAATTGTTGCCAGAGTCTGTGAACCTCAGAAGGACTCGTATTTAGCCATCTGATTACTTCTATCTGACTTTGTCCTGTCTCTAGTCTCCCAACAGCTCTCAATCGCAGTTCGTTAGACAAATGATGTTTAGAGGTCATTGGTATGAATTGGCTATCCCAGATTTCTTATCTCAGCATCACAATGAAATTTACAGGCCTTGCTCTCAAACATGCAATTTAATGCTCCTAGCAGGTGATGTATTCCGATCGCAGCCCCACTAATTTACATTTTGCAGTTTTACTCAACTGTTATTTGACAACATATTCAAATTTTATACGATTGACTTATTTTTGGATGAGTTATTGCTGTTTTTGCAATTTTACCTCAATTTTTGGAAACCAGTATACAGTCAAAAGTCTTTAATCCAGATTATCAGTTTTTCCGGATTATAGAGCATCGGTTTAAATCTGGTAAGATAGCATGCAGAAATCATAAAATAAAAATATGAAAATGTAATTTATGAAATAAAGAGCAATTAATATAAAGGGTATCAAAATTTACAAAAAAAAACTTAATACTTATTTGTTTACTTTATTAAGCATTTCTTTCAACATGCACATGCGTAAAGCATACATTACACATAGTCGAAATTACACAGAAAATAGTCCGTGATATTTATAATGACGAGGATATTGATTTAAATCATATCGGAGAGCATCGAGATGAAACACTGCATTTAGTATGGAATTATAAACCGAATAAAATACAAACATCTCCCCTGAAGATGAGGTTAGTGCTGACAAACCAACTTCCAGTTCATGGCGCGCCACGACGTTGCCCCCCCTTCCCCCTGCAGAGCAGCATGAAATTGATAAACAAGATTTCGGAATAGTTAGAGAAACAAAGGATATGCCTTTATCCATTTTTTTGCAGCCTTCCACTTTTGTTTGATGGAAATCGAAACATGCTTTCGCATTCAGATCCTTTGTCAGCTCCAGAATCGAAATTTTTTGACATACGAAAGTTTAAGCTTCTTTTAAATGGCTTTACAGTCCTGCAAAAAATATTATTATCCATATTGGTTGGCCGTCCTTGGCTGAACTTCTTGGATGCCGAGTCTTTGGTTAGAAATTGTTGCCAGAGTCTGTGAACCTCAGAAGGACTCGTATTTAGCCATCTGATTACTTCTATCTTTGTCCTGTCTCTAGTCTCCCAACAGCTCTCAATCGCAGTTCGTTAGACAAATGATGTTTAGAGGTCATTGGTATGAATTGGCTATCCCAGATTTCTTATCTCAGCATCACAATGAAATTTACAGGCCTTGCTCTCAAACATGCAATTTAATGCTCCTAGCAGGTGATGTATTCCGATCGCAGCCCCACTAATTTACATTTTGCAGTTTTACTCAACTGTTATTTGACAACATATTCAAATTTTATACGATTGACTTATTTTTGGATGAGTTATTGCTGTTTTTGCAATTTTTCCTCAATTTTTGGAAACTAGTATACAGTCAAAGTCTTAATCGGATTAAGAGATCGGTTTAAATCTGGTAAGATGGCATGCCGAAATTATAAATTAAAAATATGAAACGTAATTTATGAAATAAGAGCAATTATGATCTAAAGGGTATCAAAACTTACAAAAAAAAAAAAAAAGAGGCTTAATATTTATTTGTTTACTTTATTAAACATTTCTTTCAACGCGCGCATGCGTAAAGCATACATTACGCATAGTCGAAATTAGAAAATTGCAACCAGAAAACTATTTGATGTGTATTCGTGATATTTATAATGAGGAGGAATTTGATTTAAATCATATCAAAGACGGAGTACATCGAGATGAAATACTACATTTAGTAAGGAATTATAAGCCGAATAAAATAAAAACATCTGCCCTGAAGATAAGGATAGTGCTGACAGATCAACTTCCAGTTCATTGCGTGCCGATGCGACATCCCCCCCCCCCGCAGAGCAGCGTGAAATTGATAAACAGATTTCGGAATGGTTAGATAAACAATAGATATGCCTTTTCATCCATTTTTTGCAGCAATTCCACTTTTTGTTTGATGGACATCGAAACATGCTTTCGCATTGTAGATCCTTTGGCAGCCCCAGAATCGAAAATTCTTTTTGACATAATCGAAAGTTTAAGCTTACTTTTATAAAATGGCTTTAACAGTCTGGAAAAAATAATAATTATTATCCAATTAGAAGATTAAGGAACAACGCAATCTGCAACATTAACTGAAAGAGATAATTAGATAATTTTAGCTTAGCTTATACCTTCCATTATACATTCAAGCGCTCATGCATAAACGTATTATGCACATGCGTAGAAAGTTTGTAGCTTTGAGGTCCGGATTGTAGGTCATTCCGGATTATGGACGTCCGGATTAAAGACTTTTGACTTTATTAAGGTTATTGATAAACTTGCTAGCGTTAACTATTATGTAGCACTTTCACTTGTTCTGTTAATAATGTGTCAAAAATATCTGTTACTAGATAACATTGATTACATTTTTATAGCTATACATTGCAGTAATCTGTACATTATCCTTTGGTCAGTGATCATTAACGTGATATTTTAGGTTTTCTATTTGTGCTTTTTAATAACTTAGTATTTTATTTGGTTGCTAGGATAATTTTTTCCATGATGTGCCATAAAAATATAATCGGATACTTCAATAGTAATAAATATTTAACTAATATATTTGTGAATGATATAAGGAGTGTATGATTTAAAATTTGTAAGATAAATTTATGAATTGTGTTGCAGATGATATGTTGATAAAGCTGTGGAATTGGGATAAACAATTTACATGCACACAAGTTTTTGAAGGACATACTCATTATATCATGCAAATTGTTATCAACCCGAAGGATAATAATACATTTTGCTAGTGCTTCTCTAGATCGCACTGTAAAGGTATAGTTTTACTTATTTAATACATGGATTTGATTTGAAGCCGAGTGTGTGTGAATATTTTAAATATAAGTGATAATCATTTAAAATTCTGTATGTTTAATTAATTACATGTTGGTGTGAACTGATTGTAGCACATTTAACCAGTATGGCAAGAGTCCCAGTGAATCATAACACTATGTTTTTAGTAATGATTTATTTACTTGGGAGATATTGTACTCTGGTACCTTAATCATTTTCATTGTATGTTGAGCATATCTTAAGTGAAATTGTTTGTCATTTCTGTGAATAATTTAATACAAATTTGAAAATGCATAACATGTAATTTTATCTGGGCTAATGCTACTAGTTATGTACAGATTTGTCTCCACACCGTGTAACATTTGATAATTATCATTTTAGGTTTGGCAGCTAGGTTCCAGTGCACCAAATTTCACATTAGAAGGACATGAAAAAGGTGTGAACTGTGTTGATTACTACCATGGAGGTGATAAGCCTTATTTGATATCTGGTGCAGATGACAGATTAGTAAAAATATGGGATTATCAGGTAATTATTAGAATTTCAATTTGAAATTATGTCCCAGGGTACTTAACAATTTGAAGACTTGGTATTTTGCTACATTTAAGTGAAATTCAGATTTGAAGAAATGAAATATTTAAATTTTCTCAAATTAATACTTTGCATATTTTTAACATAATAAGCTATTTTGGCATCAGTTTATATTGGTGTTTAAAATACACATGTAAAGTAGGTTTTTCATTTTTAACTGTAGATCTGCCAACATATGAAAATGAATGCTGCTTTTACTTGGTAGAAATAAGTGTTCATTAGTTGTTGTGTTAAAGAAATACAAGGGGAGTTAAAATATGTAATATATTTAGCTCCAGTTGTGTTCTTACCTGAGAAAAACTATCATTCTGGTATAATATATCATGCTTATTACAGTCAAAAGTCGTTAATTCGGACACCCATAATCCGGAATGATCTATAATCCGGACCTCAAAGCTACAAGCTTTATGTGCATGCGTCATGTTGACGCATGCGCATAAAACCTGTACGGCTGCGAATACGCGTGTGAGCGTGCGCAAAATACGTTTACGAATGCGCGTTTAATGTTATAACGGATGGTATAAGCTAAGCTAAAATTATCTAATTCAGTTAATGTTGCAGATTGCGTTGTTTCTTAATCTTCGAATTGGATTTGGCTTATTATTTTTTGCAGACTGTTAGAGCAATTTTATAAAAGTAAGCTGGAACTTTCGATTATGTCAAATAGAATTTCTGATATATATTTACTAATATGTAAAAGATCTACAAAGTGAAAGTATGTTTTGAAATCCATTAAACAAAAAGTGGAATTGCTGCAAAAAATGCATAAAGGCATATCCTTTGTTTATCTTTAACACCGCGGCGCGCAATGAATTGGAAGTTGATCTGTCAGCACTATCCTTATCTTCAGGGCACATGTTTTTTATTTTATTTGGCTTATAATTCCTTACTAAATGTAGTATTTCATCTCGATGTACTCCGTCTTTCATATGATTTAAATCAAATTCCTCGTCATTATAATTCGCTTCCGATAGCGAAGAAAGTAACAGAGGTTATTGAAAACGAAAAAATTTTGATTGACAAGTTAGTCGGTATTCTCGGCACAGCAATTACGGGACTTGAACAGCGGAACTTTGTAACTGAACAAGAAATTATGTCTGTTTATAGAATTAAAGAGAAAGTATTATCACATAAAACGAAGCAACTTAAACAACTTACATTGAAAGAAATGTTTAATAAAGTAAACAAATAAATATTAAGCTTTTTTTTTTTTTTTTTTTTTTTTTAAATTTTGATACCCTTTAGATCATAATTGTTCTTTATTTCATAAATTACGGTTTCATATTTTTAATTTTATAATTTCTGCATGCCATCTTACCAGATTTAAACTGATGATCTATAATCCGGAAAAATCGATAATCCGGAATCGCCAAAGTCCCGATATGTCCGGATTAACGACTTTTGACTGTATATGCATTTTATTTTTTAATCCTGAAGTTATGCAGAAGGTTAGACCTTGATTGTGTGTGTGATTTTCCTATGTATTTTTGTGGCTATGTTTCTTGGTTAATCAGATCAATTTACTAGCCTGATAATTATAATTTCAACTGTCTCTTGTTTGTGTTCACAATTAAGATCTTTAAAATGTGTACCAAAATTGAAAATTCGTCCATTTCTGTGGGAAACAGCGAGAATGTTCATTCTTTACAAAACTATTTTTAGATTATTTCATTCTATTCAGAAAGTGAAATATCTAAACAAAGTATTGAAAATGGTATGTTGAAGGGAAACCAAACGAAAATGTTCGTGGCAAGAAATTTACTGATTATTTCTCCTTCACAATGATGAATTTGATTAGTGAAATGCATAATACAGTTGGAAGAAATCAACACCTTGTCTTTTATAAACTGCTGTGGAATTTTCACAAGTTTTTTTGTTGTTTCAGCAATCAAAATATCACTAAAAGAGTTGTGTATAATAATGTGGGATTGGGGAATAGATATTTAGGCAGTGCAAAAGGAAGTGCATGGACTTTACTCACATTTTTTCAAAATTGCTAAAATTTCTAACAACTAATTTTTTGGATCAGATCAAAGGAGTTAAATGTTGTATCATGCTAGAAATGAAGCATTCTCTTGAGCGACCTCAACTACAGTAACGCTTTTAAACATTAAAGTGGGAAATATTAACACAAAAAGCTATACCTTTATATATATACCTAAGGTTTGTGCTGTCTTTAAAAAGTGCTTAGGTTTTTTTTTAAAAAATTATTTTTAGTCTTAAAATTCCTTAATTTTGGCCAAAATCAGTAAAGGGTTTCTAATTTTACTCATCTAACATACCTGTCTGTTTATGACTGTCATTTTGAGTGTGAATTAGCATTTTGAAGGAATACTTCTAGGTGACTTGTTGACAAATATGTATTTCCTGGGTTATCATTTGAATTCAGTTCTACTTTTAATATAATTGGTGTGGTACTTGAATTTCTGGGCATGAGGTTCCACTTTGATTGAAACTGTAGCAATCTCAAGGGCCAGTCAGACTGCCTTTATCTGGTCATGAGATTTTTTGTCACTTGGTGTACCTTAGATTTATAAATTGAAATATTTTGCTTGCTTTCTTTCTTAATAATTTAAATATGTAAATGAATGCAAGTTTACAAACACAGACTAAAAGAACTAATTATAAAAATTTAGCTTATAGAAACTATTTAAATACCTATAAAACTTAAAATATTTGGTTTTCATGAATAGATCAAAAAATCTTTGTCACTCAAAGGTTAAAAGATTTATCTTATATGCATCGGTACACAGTGCCCACCAGCAGCCGAGCAGTAAAGTCGCTAAACACTGGTAGTTCGGTCTGAGGTTTGAATCCCACGAGTGGGCTGGCTGCATGGGCGTTTTCATAGTTTTTCCCATGTGTAACGTGTATACGAGCCAGTTTCCCTTAGAAAGTCCTCCACGAAGGCATCCCTCCTCTTAGGCAGATAGCTCTCGAGGCTTTGCCATAATAATCACACACATGCATCAGTATACCGTACACGAGCTGAGGACTTTTTGCATCTGGTACAGTCTTTGTGGATCCCAAATTCTGTTACCTGCTGCCTCTCTAAATTCTAAAATTCTTATGCCAAGTGCCTGTGCTAAATTCTAAAATGTTTGTCATTTCTAAATTCACTTGCTCAATGCTTCACAAAATTCTAACAATTTCTGCCACACTGGCTCTGATGCCAGCTCTGACTGTGTGACTTTGTATTTAATATCAGTTCTCATTAGAATAGAAATAAAATTAGTTTATTGTATACATTCTAAATACATGCACTTTTTAAAAATAACAGAAATCTTGAATTAAATATGAAAATTCTAAATGAAGAGGAAACTTATTAAGAAATAAATAAATACATAAATTGATTACATAAAGAGATTACATAAAGAGATTGATTACATAAAGAGAAATAAAAAATTATTCTTCAAATGTTGGACATTATTAAGTTAGGAGATGAAGCAGAAACTAGTAGGAACATTGATTTGTTTATTGAAACAAACGCATTTAGAAAAACTGCTAAAGTGAAATTCATATAAATTAGCTAAAATGTCTGGAAAATTTTCAAATTAAAAAAGGCACATAATATTTTGTTCTGTGTTGTTGGTGCAAAACAAGCGCACACTGTAGCTTGTAGTGTATAAATTATGATAATATTTTAGATTGAGTTTCATAGATTGTGTGTGTAATTATCTGTTATTTTAAACTGTAAAATGTACTTGGATTGTGATTTTAAAAATTATTTTAATGAATATTTTTTAAGATAGTTTTAATAATGACCATGTAAATTTATAGAGTAAGGATAGCTTAACTACTTAACTTAGAAGTTATGTCTGTGTATTAAGGAAAGTTATTGTCTTTCCTTAACCCTTACTTTAGATGCAAGATACAGCTCAAAAATATAAAAATTGATAGAAAACTATTTCTTACAGTTGTCTTACAGTAATATAAAACAACTTGTCATCTCTGATGCTTCAGCAGCTTACTAGAACTTTACAATATATTAACTGGGTTAAAACTCTGTCAACTATGTGCAAAGCTACAACACTAACTGGGTCTGACAAATAAGATGCACCAAACTTTCAACCATATTAATTGTTTGAACATGTGGCATTTACATCTGCTCTGATCAACAGCTCTGTCTAGGCAAACAGCAGTGGTGGCAGCAGCCAAACTTCTATTATGAATCATCCTTGATTGATTTTACTTCTCATTTTAACATATGCCTTTTGTCATAAAATCTCAATAAACCTCTGGATTGAGTGGGCACTTTATGAAAGGCATAAAAGAATCAACATAAAGTTTACTGATAGTAAAACTGAAATGTCACTAATCTTTTTCAAATATATGTGACTGTTATAAGTGTAAAATATAATATGTTGCAAGAAATTTTATAATTTAATGCTGAAGTTAATTTTATTTTTGAATTTGTTTAATAATTATGGTAAATGTTAGGTTATGTTTGATAATAATGCATCCTACTGACCTGTTACAAAAGGGGAGTTTGAGTTACAAAAGGGGAGGTAATGGATTTAATTTATTCATTTCCAATTTGATGATAGGTTATTAATTATTTTCAATGATGGTCTTTGAAAGTATTTTAATTTCGATGTGTACGAACACCGATACCGCTGTAATTGGGATAGACTTTGAAAAAGTAGGCCTGCCTACTCTACTGTAACTCCTCAAATCTAAAACTTTCAAGTGGATATATTATAGCAAGATAACTCTTATATTATACTAGTATATTTTAAGGCATGTATGGACATGGAAAAATGAGAATAATTTTGTCATCACTCGTCATCAGTGATTCTTGTCACGTTGAACTCGAATAAATACTATACTTTATTTCCTTTTAATGCTTTACGACTCAAAGTTTATTTTCAATATATTTACAGAATTGTTGGGATTTGTATTAGTGCCTTACTGAACTCTCTCTCCCCACTCCTCTT